CGCCAGATGGAATATACAGAAATCAAATTGACTACATTTGTGGAAAGAGACAGTGGAAAAGCTCCATATCAGCAGCCAAAACAAGACCAGGGTCAGATTGTGGAACAGACCATTAATTGCTCATGTGCAAATTCAGACTGAAGCTGCAAAAAAATGAAAATAAGTCCACATGAGCCAAACTGTGACCTTGAATATATATATCCCACCTGAATTTAGAGATCATCTGAAGAACAGATTTGATACATTAGACACTAAAGACCGAAGACCAGAAGAGTTGTGGATGACATCAAGAACATCATACGTGAAGAGAGCAAAAAGTCATTAAGAAGACAAGAAAGAAGAAAAAGGTCAAAATGGATGTCAGAAAAGACTCTGAAACTTGCTCTCCAGTGTAGAGATGCTAAAGCAAGTGGAAGAAATGAGGAGGTCCAAGAGCTGAACAGAAAATTTCAAAGATCAGCTCGAGAAGATAAAGCCAAATATTATAATAAAATGTGCAAAGATTTGGAATCAGAAAACCAAAAAGGAAGAACATGCTCATGATAATTATTATAACACAGTGGTGGTTGTGTGCTGTGGAGTTGGTTCTGATTCATAGTAACCCTGTATAGGGTTTCCAAGGCTGTAAGTCTTTATGGGAGCAGAAAGCCTCATCTTTCTTCCACAGAGTGTCTGGTAAATTCAAACTGCTGACCTTTTGATTAGCAGTCTAACTCATAGTCCACTATACTACCATAGCTCTTTAATTATTATAACATAGACAATTCTGAAACAGTAGTATTAACAAACAATAATTTATGTAGGTAGATAAGTATGCTAAACAGTGTGTGAGAGCATAAAGGAGCATATCCACCTGCAGATAATATGATTAATTGTGCATATTTCTACATAAACAATTGTGGTGGTGGTGGTGGTTATGTGCCATAGAGTCAGTTTTGAGTCATAGTGACCCTATACAGGGTTTCCAAGGCTGTAAATCTTTACAGGAGCAGAAAGCCTCATCTTTCTCCTGCAGAACAGCAGGCAGTTTCGAACTGCTGACTTTGCGATTCACAGCCCTATTCGTAACCACTACGCTACCAGAGCTCCTTACATAAACAATTGTAGTTGCTACATATATATTAATAAAAAACCATTGAGCATACAGGGGCACAGTCATGGAAACTTCTTAGACATTCTTCAGGTTGAAGTTCCTAGGCTCCTAGGTGAAGTACCACAGACTCAGGGGACATCTACATCAATTGGCACAACATAGTCATGAAGACAGTGTTCTGCATCCAACTTTGGTAAGTAGCATCCTCGGGGGGCGGGCTTAAAATTATATAAGCAGCCATATAAAATACAAGCACTAGTTTTTTTGTATCTGGAGCCAAGGAGAGTGAAGACCATAAAAGAATCAAAGGACCAATTAGTCCAAAGGACTACATGAATAACAACCTATAACCCTGAAACCAGAAGAACTAGATGTGCCCAGCTATCACTACTGATCTCTCTGACTAGAATCACAACAAACAGTCCTGGACAGAACAAGAGAAAAATGTAAGAAAATAAAATCAAATTCACAAAAAAGACCAGACCTACTGGAGGAATCCCTGTAATTATGGCCCTAAGACACTCTTCTGACCTGGAGTGGAAGCCATTCCCAGAGATGACCTTTCAGCCAAACAATAGACAGTTCCAAAAATAAACAATAACAGCCACAAGGAATATGTTTCTAGGAACAATCAATTATGTGAGATCAAAAGGACAACATTTGCCCAAAAGCAAAGATGAGAAGGCAGGAAGGGGTAGAAAATTTGAAAGAAAGGAAACAGGAATCCAGGGTGGAAATGGGAAGAGTGGAGAATACAACCAATGTGCTGGACACTTTATGTACAAGGTATTGGATGGGAAATGAATTTGCTTTGTAAACTTTCACCTAAAGGACAGTGGGGGGAAAAAAAGTTTTAAAAATAAAACCAGAAGAGTGTAAAAAAAAGAGAGATAATCAAAGTCCATAATGGGTTATTCAAAATGCTTTTTGGTTGAGGAGAACAATCCAAGGAAATAGAAGAGGTTGACGATGGTGGAAAGGCAAGGTAAAAGTTGAGTTTCTCAGAAATAGGAGTGGGTAGGCTAGAAAGAGCAGGTAAAAGGAGAGATTTGGGGAAGAGGGAGGAAGGATCCCTCTTGTTTTAGGATGGATTGAAAGAAAGGTATAAAGTCACAGGTACACTGAAATTTTGTAAGTTTATTAAAATAGCAGAGAGAGTTTACTCTAGGAGACTAGTCTTGATAGATGTGGTCATAGAGTGAAAAACAAACAGATGAGGTCATAGAGTGAAGAAATCATCTCTATGGGGAATGTGCAAAAAAAACCAAACCACTAGAATCCCTTTTTCTACTCATGCCTAAGTCATAGGGGAAGGAATCTCTTGAATCTGCCCTCTCCTGACCACTTAGAACTTGCTAGCTTATGGGTTCCTGAGTAGGTTGGGTTCCATTGAGCTACAGGCTACCAGGAGCTAAGTTCCATCTACCAGAAGGTTACAGGCCAGGTATGTGGCTCCAAACCCCACAACCCCACCTGGCCTGTTAGTGGAGGAGTCAAGAGATGTTTATGGCAAAAATCCTTATAAGGAAGAGTCCTTGGAGGCTGGAAAGAGAGCTACTTTCAGCAGATGGGGACAAGTAGTTGATTGAGGTGGCTCCAGAGCTAGGGGTCTCAGAAGACAAAGTTTCTTTCAGAGAAAGTGAGAGTGAATACCTGCAGACCTCAGGGAGGAAGTGGAGTAGATTGCTGATGGAGGCTGGGGGGTGGCTGGGGGCATGTTGGAACCAGGGAATGAGAGGATGTGAGAGAGGAGGATAAGATACTTGGTGGGTACAGAGAGTACCCTTCTCCTACTACTACCATGCACCCAAAACACCAGTTACCATCAAGTTGAGTCTGACTCTGGCGATGTGTGCCAGAGAATTGTGCACTGTATGGTTTTTGATGACGATTTTTCTTAAGTAGTTCACTATGCCTCTCTTCTGAGGTGCCTCTGGGTAAAATCAGCCTTTTGACTAGCAGGTATCTATGTGACTAAAAGCCTACTCCAGGTTAGTTCAAATCCTATCTTATACCTTCTGGGATGCCCAAACTGACTCTTCCCTACAAAATTAATGAGCTTCCTTCTAATTGGGTTCTCAGTAACTATGTGTATCTCTCTTCCTTCCTTATTTCTCTTTGCATTGTGCTGTTGCTGTTTAAGTGTCATGGAGTTGGTTCAAATGACCTTGCAGTCCAGTGCCTTATCCTACAGCACCACAGAAGTTACTCATAAATATATGATTACTAATGGACCAATCAACTAATTTGTTATTGTTAGCTTGTTGTTGTGTTAATCCCAATGTATGGTATCCATGTATGCAGAGTAGAACTGTTCCATAGAGTTTTCAAGGCTATGATCTTTTGGAAACATTACCAGGTGTTTCTTTCAAATCACCTCTGGGTAAGTTTGAACTGACAACCTTTATGTTAGTAGTTGTGTGCTTAACCATTTGTCCACCCAGGGATTCCTAACTAACTACTTTTTCTTTAAAAAAAAAAATCACCCCTAGGATTGATTCTCTAAGCCTTTCTTGCACTCTTCTGTTCAGTTCTACTTGCCTCATTTCTATAGTCCAGTCTCACAGGTCAGCACCATTCCCCTCCTCAGCCTTAACCTAAAGCAGGGCCAGTGAGCATTAAATGCCAGGTCCAGTTTTCAGTCCCAGACCATCCTTGAACTCAGCAAATGCTGATCAAGTGACTGTCTCTCTCTGGCTTCGACTGGAAAGATGCCAGGAAAGATCGAAGCATCTACCCTGATGGGTTACACCAGGACTTCTAGAAAGGATTTTGTGGCAGGAGGGAGGAGACAGCAGATTGAATTTCTCTGTGACTGTGCAAGGCAGCATGATGGATGAGCAGTGGAAAGCCCTTCTATGAAACACGCCAGACCTATTGCAACAGTATCTCTCCCAACTGCTCAGAATTTTATTTCTCTGAAGACACACTGAATGGTGCTCTAGATTTAGATGTGGGTTCCTCCTCAATGCTCCAAAGGATGTCCCCAGCAGAGGAAGAAGACAGTGAGAACTGAGGGAGGTTTGAATGCTATTCCCAAGTCTTGGCATAGAAATTAACAACGCTTGAAGAGTTTCCTGACTTCTGTAGACCATAAGAATACATCGCTGCCATAACAGCCTACCAGTTTTCAGTGTTGACTTTAGTCTCACTCTCTCAAGAAGTGGTGAATGTCGGCTGGGACTTCTGACACTCTGCACCCAGGTTCTCCTTGGTAGAAGAGATAAGTTTACCAGCCTCTTCTCTTGAATTGAGAGGTCTTCCCTGAGGCTGTAAACAACTGGGAGTCCCCGAGCATATTACCAAATACAGTAGAAAAAAGTCAATGAACTGACCACAGCTACATTTACCCAGTGATGGAGAAGTGAAATATGTGCTTGAACAGGGCATGCCTGGGGCTGGCCTGTTCCTTCCTGAACTGGTCCCTGCTTTCCTGGCTCTGAAGAGGCCTCTGATCTAGTACTGCCAGCCTCTACATTTTTGTATCTTTTTCTCATTGCGTGGCCCCCTTGTCTTTAAAAGGCTAAACGCTCTGTACTAAATTTGGTCACGCAGCGCTCCAAGATTCCCTGGAATGTCCTCAAGTTTCAAACAGCTCTGACAGCGAGGCAGGCCCGCCCCTAGCGTGGGTATTGGCTTCTCCTTTCAGGACCCGGCAGCTGGCGGGTCTTATTGGTCAGTGGGCGGACCAGCCACTCGCCCTGGGCTGCAGGAAGGCTGCTGCCTCCAGTTAACACTTGAGCACCTGTGGCACGGTGGGGCCAGGGCACTTGTTGTCTGCAGTTCTCCATCCAGTTCGGGGTTGCTCCCAAGCCCACTCTGCTCCATTCGACGTGCTCACCCCTCTTCCTGCCTGTCCACCAGATTCCTGTAGCCCCCGACAAAAGCTGCAGCCCACTTTACCAAGATGTCTAAGGTAGCCAAGTATCGCCGGCAGGTGAGCGAAGACCCCGATATCGACAGCCTGCTGTCCACCCTATCTCCTGAGGAGATGGAGGAATTGGAGAAGGAGCTGGATGTGGTGGATCCAGATATGAGCATTCCTGTGGGGCTGCGGCAGAGAAACCAGACGGAGAAGCAGTCTACCGGCATGTACAACCGGGAAGCCATGCTCAACTTCTGTGAAAAGGAGACCAAGAAACTGATTCAGAGGGAGATGTCCATAGATGTGAGTAGGAGCAGACCTAGAGGGAGGGTGAGGGAAGAGTGTGGGGTGTGGAGACCTTGGCTTAGTGGCTGGGCTGCTTCTTTGATGAGACAAACTTTCTTGTTGGCAAAGGATTGAATTCTTCAGAACCGACTATCATCTTGCTGTCAGCATTGTGAATCTCTTGCCCCTTAATTTCTGTGATATAAGCAGAAGTTGTATATTTTGGAGGAACTTAAAACATTCCACAGTATCAAATAAGGCCTAGTAGAAAAGAGACCAGAAGGTATTTTTGAAGTATTATTGTCAGTCACATTGATTCCATCCTGGTCCTTCAACACTCTTCTTTACATCCATCTCATTGTGAAGAGGGGCGGAGGATACAATGATGGTTGCTGTCTCTTGCCAGGCAGCTAAGAAGAGAACGTTAAATGTTCTTTTGGGTGAAAGATTCCATTTTTAAGTACTCTGGCCCTGTGGGCATCTCATGGTAATGACCAGTTTAGAAGGCAAGTGGACTTGCTAAAGTGATGGGAGACATGGGACCAGAGGTCTGTTGGCTTCATTTTCTTTTCCTAGAGAAAATGGAAAATTTCTACACTCTGTAGAGTAGCCTCTTGAGGGAGCATCCCTCTTTTTGGTACTAAGTTTTTTCAAAAAAACTTAGCAACATCAACTTTGCTAGAAAATGAAGCTATTTCCTAGCAGTGTTTTGCTACTAAGAAAGGGAAAGGGTTGAAGGTTGACTATTTTGGAAACATCTGCCCACATCTAGGATTGGCTCAAGCAAAACTTGTGTTTTACTAGAGGTGGGGTCATCACAAAGGAATTCACTTTGTTCACCATTGTGTTGATATGTGAGTTTTCTTTGGATGAACTAGAGACGAAGTGCAGGATCCTTTTGTCCATGGAAAAGAATGCTTTATGGGAAAAACTGTTCTAAGCCTTTGTACTAGTTCTCTTCTAACCAGTAACCTGTTGCTTCGACTATGATTCATGGTGACCTCATGTGTGTCAGAGTAGAATTGTGCTCCGTAGGATTTCCAGTGTTTGGTTTTTCAGAAGTTGATCATCAGGCCTTTCTTTCTAGGTACCTCTGGGTTGACTTGAACCTCAGACCTTCAAGTTAGAAGCTGAGCGTGTTAACTGTTTGCACTACCCAGGGACTCCAGTTCTTTTCTACTCAGCACCTACTGGCTACATCTCTTGTCTATTATCCACTAACTGTAAATTCTTGCAAGAAAAAGTGTAGCCACAATTCTTGTTCTTTGTTTGTTTTCAATCCTGTAGATAAAATTAGTGGCCAGAGTAAACCAGGAAAACCTAGATGTCTAGGGTAGAGAAAACCAACATCACAGAGTTTCAAACAACCTGCTCACTCTCACAGAGGAAACGGGAAAGGTGATACTGTCATCTGAAACTACTGTGAAATGCCTGACTGGGGAGGAAATGCTAGTCACAGAGCATATTTGTGGACATAGCCCCTGAGGCTTTGTGTGAAGGGGTGGGAGCAATGGGGAGAGAAGGCAGCAAAGTGAGGGAGAATACCTGACTCAATCCCTACCTCCCCCAGCCCACGTTGGGAGAATAAGGGAGTCTGGAGGTTCAGATACTTATCCCGGCTGCAAGTGCTGATATCTTGCTCCTGTGAGGGCTTGGTAATTCAACAAAAACTATCAGAAAACACAGAAAGAATGGGATACAGATTGAAGACTTCTAGTGCTCAAAAAGACACTCCTGAGACTTAAGTAGAACACAGAGTATTACTCATCACTAAGCAAGATGCTTAGGCCACAGAGTGTGTGAGGAATTCTTTTGCTTCTAGAAATTTCATTCTCTAAAAAAAAATTACCACACAAGCCTCTCCTCCCCTGCGCACCTCCTTCAGCACTACCAAGTATACACTTGTGTCTGAAGACAGAGATTAGAATAGAGGGGAAGGGGTGTGTATGCCTGTGTACAGCTGTGCATCCTGGATATAAGAAGATGCTGTTAGGACCATTTTCCTCTTGTGGGAACAGACTGTTCAAATTGACTCAACCTTTATCAAAGACTTTATGGGCATACATAGGTTGGCAAAATGGTTGGAGTTTAAGGTGCATTCTAAACTGTGGACAGAAATCATCTTTGTAAATCTGGACAAATGGGAATTAACACTAAAGAAGTACCTTCTTTAACACCATGAGTGATATATTGTTGTTGTTGTTTAGTGCCATCGAGTTGGTTCTGACCTATAGCAACCCTGCATAGGGTTTCTGAGGAGCAGCTGGTGAGTTTGAATAGCTGACTTTGTGGTTCAGACAAATTTACAGTCCACCGCATTAACCCACAGTGTCACACCAGGACTCCTGAGTGATATAGTGATGTGCATTAAAGAACTGGGGCTTAAGAGGATCAGAAGAACCCTTGGGGGCCAGTATGTCTTACTGTCTGCATAAGTAACTCAGTTTCCTTAATTGTAGAATGAGGATAATATCTCATAGCATTGTGGGTACAAACTAAGAGGGATAATAATGTAAAGTACTTAGCACAGAGTTTACATGCAATAAACACCTACTGTGGTGCTACAGGTTAATGTGCTGTACTGCAAAGTTGGTCTGAACTGCAAGGTCAGCAGTTTAAGCCCACCAGCCACTCCTATACAGGGTCGGAACCAACTTGATGGCACTTAACAACAACAAATGGCAGCTACAGAATTCTGAATTCTGGAATCCAGAAGGTGATAAATGAGCAAATCTTTACCCCTACCCAGCCCCTCCCTTCACTCAATCACGCAGGCAGCTGTTGTGAGCTTGTCTGTTCAATTAATGGCCAGATAAAACAAATAAAACTAGGATGCTTAGGGTAGGGGTCTCTGACATCACAGAGACAGAAGAGTGGGTGGGGCTCTAAGTGGTAGACTCAGTCTCCCCTTCCCCAGAATTCCCCTCGGCACTCTCAATGATGGTGGCCGTTACTACATGTGAGGCACTAGAACTTAATCAAAATGTGAGCCCATTTCTCTCTAGCTGAGGAAGATGAGTATTTACTGAGAACCTTCTATATGCTGAGCACATTCACCTTTTCTTTTATTTAAGCCTCACAGTTCTTAGAAGACAGGCATTTCTTATCTCCATTAGACAGATTCAGAAAGGGAGGATCAGAGAGGTTGACCACAAAGTTAATAAGTGGTCTTATTTTGCCTGACTTTGAGAACTGCATTAGGGTACAAAAAGAGCAGGAGTGCCAAGCCTTGGCCTCAAAAGTTTAAAGAGGTCACCACATACGCAGAATAGAGCCACTTGAGAGGTACTACCAAGCAGTGACCAAATATTCTTACGTTGCGGGTTTAATACCGCCACCAGTTGCCATCAAGTTGGCTCAGACTCATAGCAACCTCATGTGTGTCAGAGTAGAACTGAGCTCCATAGCGTTTTCCAGTGGCTGAGTTTTGGGATGTAACACTGTCAGGTCTTTCTCCTGAGGTGCCTCTGGGTGGACTCCAGTCAACTGTTCTGTTAGCAGCCAATTGTGTTTTTACCACCCAAGGAGTCTGGGTGTAACAGAAGCTGCATACTTCTCCTTCTGCAGCCACCCCTCTTCCCTCCACCCCCATGAGTAGGAACATAATTATTAAAACCAAGTGTGGAGTAGGAAAAGTAAATCCTGCCTGGACAGTGGGTGGTGTTGCTGTTAGGTGCCATCGAGTTGGTACCGACTCATAGTAGCTCTGGAAGCGTAATGGTTACGAATCGGGCTGCGAACCTTAAGGTCAGCGGTTCGAAACTACCAGCTGCTCCGTGGGAGAAAGATGAGGCTTTCTACTCCTGTAAAGATTTATACCCTTGAAAACCCTGTACAGGGTCGCTATGGGTCGGAACTGACTCAACAGCACTTAACAACAACATAGCGACCCTGAGTACAATAGAACAAAATACTGCCTGGTCCTGGGCTAACCTCACAATTGTTGCCATGCTTGAGCCCATTGATGCTGCCATTTTGCCAATCCATCTCACTGGGGGTCTTTCTCTTTCTCTCTGACCCTCCACCTTGCCAAACATGATATCCTTCTCCAGCGACTGGTCCCTCCTGACAATATGTCCAAAATATGAGAGACGAACTCTGGCCACCCTGGCCTCCAAGGAGCATTCTGGCTGCACTTCTTCCAACACACATCTGTTGGTTCTTTTGGCAGCCCATGGCACTGTCAATATTCTCCTCTTAACACCATAACTCAAATGCATCAATTCTTCTATGATCTTCCTTATTCACTGTCTAGCTTTCACATGCATATGAGGTTACTGAAAATACCATGGTTTGGGTCAGGTGCACCTTAGTCCTCAAGCTGATATCTTTGCTCTTCAACACTTTAAAAAGGTCTTGTGCAGCATTTGCCTAATGCAATACATTGTTTGATTTCTTGACTGCTGCTTCCATGAGTATTGATGATTGATCCAACAAGAATGAAGTCCTTGACAACTTCAGTCTTTTCTCCATTGATAAGAATGTTGTTTGTTGGTCCAGTGGTGAGGATTTTTGTTTTCATTACATGAAGATTCAGTCCATACTGATGGCTGTGCTCTTTGATTTGGGTAGCATTAGGAATTATTAATTCCTTTTACATGTGATCATGGTATCTTGGGTAATTTTTTAAAAATCCTTATGTTTCAGACACAAACACTGGATATCTATAGGGAGGGGAAATGAAAGAATGTATGGGATTTACTTTAGAATATTTTGAGTGAAGTGAGTAGATTGGGATAGACTGGCCATGATTGGAAATTGTTGAAGCTACTAATTGTGGATCTACATGGCTGTCCATTTTATTTTCTCTACTTTTTTATTTATGTTAACGTTTTTCCTTAACTGCTTGTGAGGGTTGGAAATGTAAAGGTAGATGTTTTGTAGCAAGGAGGGAAGGTCCCTGGGACCATCAAGGGAGAAGAGCAGAGAGCGGGACCCTACCCAGAGAAGCAGTGATGCCAGAGATGGAGGCAGAGACAATAACATGGAGGGATGGAGCAGCTGGGGACTTTAGACAC